ATATAATGGCCGCATAGAATTTCGATAGCGGGAAACATCTTTACGGCCAGTGTTTGTCAACAACTCAACTCAACTACTTCGTAAAGCAGTTAAAGTCAATTCGCGCAATAAAAATAAATTGATTTCTAATTTCAAACATCTAAAAAGCGATTCGTTGTTACGGTTACAATTCAAATTTCGAATTCAGGTGACTTTATAAAGCGTCGTAATTTTTGACTTTCACCGTCAGTTGGGCCGCCTCTTCCCACGATGGTGGTTGTATGGTAGGCAACAATTAGACAATTGTCGGCCATTTTAACGATCAACCATAAAATCGAGTTTCAGTCTCTCATTAACCGCATTCCTGTGATACTTCCGCTTTTATAGTTTTACTAATCAACGCTTTGAGATTAATACGGTCCCGTACGTAATGGCGTTGGCTATGTCGAGATTAATTTTATTGGTCCGGGGTCCGGACAATTGCTCGTATAGATAATTGAGTTTCGGATGGGGTCGGCCTTTTTCTGAACTTTCCCGTGTTTACTGTTAGGCCACTTATTTCTTCACTTATCATGTCCCCGCTTGAAAATTACCAATATTTAGATTATTAAAATGGAACATAAAGAATTGTAAAAAAGTATGTTTTGATATCCAATGGATACACACTTCGTTAGCGATATCGAATAGACCCCTTTTTATTAAAGCTTTTTAAAGAAACATTTCTTGTGAGTTATTAAATTACTCTTAAGGTAAACATTTTTAGGGTTACTTTAACTTTCATTTCTTGTAATCGAAACTTATGTCATATAATACATGGTGGTATTGTAATAGAATATTTACTTTTAATTAACTATCAAAAATATGTTATGAAAGTTCTTTTATCAATGAAACTGATCTTTATTATTAAAGGTAAATTACAAACAGACACTAATTAAGCCGCAGATTTGGGCTACATTTAAGATGAATAAAGATAAATATTTTTATGACTAACAGATAATAATCGATTTTAATTAGCAATATCCAATGGACTTCATACGATATTATCTAATATATAGCGTCCGTGGTCGTTAGATTGCTTCCGTTCATGTCTTTTTTTTAATTAAAATTGTACCTTATGTGTATTTATGGTTTCTAATTAACCATTGAGAGGTAGATGTTGTGAGATTTATTTCATCGACCTTGATATTAAGATACCATCACACGTTTGTTCCAATACCGAAAGATTTGTGCAAGACATATTTCCGTCCTTTACTATCACTCTACAAAATGAGAGATAGCAATACGATTTGCATAGATGTTACCGCAGTGGAAACAGACGTTTATAAACTCCCAATTAAGCAGTGTAATGTGTATTTAATTCAGTCATTAAATTAAATTAACTCATTTTACTCTTACATGAACGGGGTTTAACACCTGAGTTTAGTAAGAACTTTATCAGGGTTTCCGTACAATTATGTGAATCAATGGTAATGAATAGAATACAACTGGCTACTCCTTACTGTAACTTATATTAAATTAACGAACCTATTAAATACATAATTAGAATCATCGTTTTTTTAAATGAGGTCGGTTATACTAATTTTATAGTTTTATCAGAAATTTTATGGAACCAACTGAAATGAATATTGACAACAAGTGTCTTTTTCATGATGTGCACATATTTAGAAGTTTAGTGTTTGTAAGGGCATCTTTCACCCTTGACACCGGGGCTCAGAAAATTGGCATAGGTTTTTGAACAGGGATATTCTTATTCGTAACTAGCTGTTCCCGTGCAGCTTCATCCCCATAAAATTAGTAAGACATTATTTTATTGTTCATATTTGTCAAATTATCAATTGCAAATGTCAAAACTTGAAAGCACAAATGACAAACCAATACCACCTGGCTTCCTTGATGTTGGCATTTTGAAGTTTATGGTCCCTTTCCCACATGATTATTTTTCCAATTTATCTACCATCTAAGTTTAATAGTGTGAACATATATGGCCTAAAGCGTGTTGTAAGTGTAGGGCTTTTTATTAAAGATAGAATTATTCAAAAATATGTTGTGATTGCTGATATCTTGCGCCACAAAATAATGTGTATATACGTTTTATTATATTAAGTACAGATTGTAATTTGATTGATTTATTGAAATAAAGTTTAAGAGTTGAAGTGTAAAATGCATTTATCCAATGTTTGAAATTTTTAAGCTTAAGTTTGGAACAAGGGTTACTAGTAGCAACATGATTTATTCGTGAAGACGTGGGACGAATTGAAAGATTGCCGTTTTATTATTTTTAAACGGTGGCTTTATCTGATAACTTTACGGTGGTCCGATATTTGTTTGTTATTAATTGACATCGTCATGAAATATAACCGTTTTTTGTTTAATTATAAACGCGCTTAACTTCTTATAATTGTGTTGCGTGTTGATTTATACGCTCTCGCTGTACAGTGGGTGGACTTGCCCAATTTTATTGTTTCGATCTTTCGGTAAGATTTAACGGTACACAATTTAATCGGTAAACGTATAGCGAACTAAATTGATTATAATATTAATTGTTCATCTTAATGGAAAATCTGTCATAATGGTTTACAACTGATTAATTTGTGATTTCAATTTAATTTTTGTTTAGCAAGTTTTACTCTCTTTTTTTTTTTTTTTTTT